CAGGACAACGACCCTAAGCACACAGCCAAGACAACGCAGCAGTGGCTTCGGGACAAGTCTCTGAATGTGCTTGAGTGGCCCAGCCAGAGTCCAGACTTGAACCCGATAGAACATCTCTGGAGAGACCTGAAAATAGCTGTGCAGCGACACTCCCCATCCAACCTGACAGAGCTTGAGAGGATCTGCAGAGAAGAATGGGAGAAACTCCCAAAATACAGGTGTGCCAAGCTTGTAGCGTCATACCCAAGAAGACTTGAGGCTGTAATCGCTGCCAAAGGTGCTTCAACAAAGTACTGAGTAAAAGGTCTGAATACTTATGTAAATGTGATATTTCTGGGGGTTTTTGAAATATAAATTAGCAAAACAATCCATAACCTGTTTTTGCTTTGTCATTATGGGTTATTGTGTGTAGATTGATGAGGGGAAAAAACTATTTAGTCCATTTTAGAATAAGGCTGTAACGTAACAAAATATGGAAAAAGTCAAGGGGTCTGAATACTTTCCGAATGCACTGTATCGGGGCCAGGAGGTAAACAGTAGCTAAAAGTAGAATTGAGTAGGCTGCATAGGTTTAATGACTAGAACCTCAAAAGATAAAGTCATTTTTAGTAAATTTAAATTTGGTGGCTTGAATGTTAGCAACACCTCTAGCGTAGCCAGGAGGAGAGGAGAGCCAAGAGGAGAGGAGAGCCAGGAGGAGAGGAGAGCCAGGAGGAGAGGAGAGCCAGGAGGAGAGGAGAGCCAAGAGGAGAGGAGAGCCAGGAGGAGAGGAGAGCCAGGAGGAGAGGAGAGCCAGGAGGAGAGGAGAGCCAGGAGGAGAGGAGAGCCAAGAGGAGAGGAGAGCCAAGAGGAGAGGAGAGCCAGGAGGAGAGGAGAGCCAAGAGGAGAGCCAGGAGGAGAGGAGAGCCAGGAGGAGAGGAGAGCCAAGAGGAGAGCCAGGAGGAGAGGAGAGCCAGGAGGAGAGGAGAGCCAAGAGGAGAGGAGAGCCAGGAGGAGAGGAGAGCCGAGAGGAGAGCCAGGAGGAGAGGAGAGCCAGGAGGAGAGGAGAGCCAAGAGTCTACAGAATACTCTAGCCTACAGTCTACAGAATAGTAGCCTGGTTTTACTCTAGCCTACAGTCTACAAAATAGTAGCCTGGTTTTACTCTAGCCTACAGTCTACAGAATAGTAGCCTGGTTTTACTCTAGCCTACAGTCTACAGAATAGTAGCCTGGTTTTACTCTAGCCTACAGTCTACAGAATAGTAGCCTGGTTTGTACTCTAGCCTACAGTCTACATAATAGTAGGCCTGGTTTACTCTAGCCTACAGTCTACAGAATAGTAGCCTGGTTTTTACTCTAGCCTACAGTCTACAGAATAGTAGCCTGGTTTTACTCCAGCCTACAGTCCTACAGAATAGTAGCCTGGTTTACTCTAGCCTTACAGTCTACAGAATAGTAGCCTGGTTTTACTCTAGCCTACAGTCTACAGAATAGTAGCCTGGTTTTACTCTAGCCTACAGTCTACAGAATAGTAGCCTGGTTTTACTCCAGCCTACAGTCTACAGAATAGTAGCCTGGTTTTACTCTAGCCTACAGTCTACAGAATAGTAGCCTGGTTTTACTCCAGCCTACAGTCTACAGAATAGTAGCCTGGTTTTACTCTAGCCTACAGTCTACAGAATAGTAGCCTGGAGACCAAATATACTGAACAAAAATATAATAAACGCATAATACAACAATTTCAAAGATTTTAATGAGTTCATTTAAGGAAATCAGTTAATTGAAATAAGTAAATTAGGCCCTAATCTATGGATTTCACATGAATGGGAATACAGATATGCATCTGTTGATCACAGATTCCTTTAAAAAAAAGTAGGGGTGTGGATCAGAAAACCAGTCAGTATCTGGTGTGACCATTTGCCTCATGCAGCGCGACACATCTTCTACGGATAGAGTTGATCAGACTGTTGATTGTGGCCTGTGGAATGTTGTCCCACTCCTCTTCAATGGCTGTGCGAAGTTGCTGGATATTGGAGGGAACTGGAACACGCTGTCGTACACGTCGATCCAGTGCATCCTAAATATGCTTAATGGGTGACATGTCTGGTGAGTATGCAGGCTATGGAAGTTTTATTGTTTTATTGTCCCCAGCACAACATTTCATTTACATTTACGTCATTTAGCAGACGCTCTTATCCAGAGTGACTTACAAATAGGTGCATTCACCTTATAGCCAGTGGGATAACCACTTTACAATGTTTTTTTTTTTTTTTTTTGGGGGGGTGGAAGGATTACTTTATCCTATCCCAGGTATTCCTTAAAGAGGTGGGGTTTCAAATGTCTCCGGAAGGTGGTGAGTGACTCCGCTGTCCTGGCGTCGTGAGGGAGCTTGTTCCACCATTGGGGTGCCAGAGCAGCGAACAGTTTTGACTGGGCTGAGCGGGAACTATGCTTCCGCAGAGGTAGGGGAGCCAGCAGGCCAGAGGTGGATGAACGCAGTGCCCTCGCTTGGGTGTAGGGACTGATCAGAGCCTGAAGGTACGGAGGTGCCGTTCCCCTCACAGCTCCGTAGGCAAGCACCATGGTCTTGTAGCAGATGCGAGCTTCAACTGGAAGCCAGTGGAGTGTGCAGAGGAGCGGGGTGACGTGAGAGAACTTGGGAAGGTTGAACACCAGACGGGCTGCGGCATTCTGGATGAGTTGTAGGGGTTTAATGGCACAGGCAGGGAGCCCAGCCAACAGCGAGTTGCAGTAATCCAGACGGGAGATGACAAGTGCCTGGATTAGGACCTGTGCCGCTTCCTGTGTAAGGCAGGGTCGTACTCTCCGAATGTTGTAGAGCATGAACCTACAGGATCGGGTCACCGCCTTGATGTTAGCGGAGAACGACAGGGTGTTGTCCAGGGTCACGCCAAGGCTCTTCGCACTCTGGGAGGAGGACATAACGGAGTTGTCAACCGTGATGGCGAGATCATGGTACAAGGTACACCTGTGTAATGATCATGCTGTTTAATCAGATTCTTGATATGCCACGCCTGTCAGGTTGATGGATTACCTTGGCAAAAGAGAACTGCTCACTAACAGGGATGTAAACAAATTTGCGCACAAGATTTGAGAGAAATAAGCTTTTTGTGCACTTGGAACATTTCTGGGATCTTTTATTTCAGCTCATGAAACATGGGAGCAGCATGTGATGAAATAGCCTAAATGGCGATTTTTTTATGAATTTATTTGCAAATTATGGTGGAAAATAAGTATTTGGTCACCTACAAACAAGCAAGATTTCTGGCTCTCACAGACCTGTAACTTCTTCTTTAAGAGGCTCCTCTGTCCTCCACTCGTTACCTGTATTAATGGCACCTGTTTGAACTTGTTATCAGTATAAAAGACACCTGTCCACAACCTCAAACAGTCACACTCCAAACTCAACTATGGCCAAGACCAAAGAGCTGTCAAAGGACACCAGAAGCAAAATTGTAGACCTGCACCAGGCTGGGAAGACTGAATCTGCAATAGGTAAGCAGCTTGGTTTGAAGAAATCAACTGTGGGAGCAATTATTAGGAAATGGAAGACATACAAGACCACTGATAATCTCCCTCGATCTGGGGCTCCACTCAAGATCTCAACCCGTGGGGTCAAAATGATCACAAGAACGGTGAGCAAAAATCCCAGAACCACACGGGGGGACCTAGTGAATGACCTGCAGAGAGCTGGGACCAAAGTAACAAAGCCTACCATCAGTAACACACTACGCCGCCAGGGACTCAAATCCTGCAGTGCCAGACGTGTCCCCCTGCTTAAGCCAGTACATGTCCAGGCCCGTCTGAAGTTTGCTAGAGTGCATTTGGATGATCCAGAAGAGGATTGGGAGAATGTCATATGGTCAGATGAAACCAAAATATAACTTTTTGGTAAAAACTCAACTCGTCGTGTTTGGAGGACAAAGAATGCTGAGTTGCATCCAAAGAACACCATACCTACTGTGAAGCATGGGGGTGTAAACATCATGCTTTGGGGCTGTTTTTCTGCAAAGGGACCAGGACGACTGATCCGTGTAAAGGAAAGAATGAATGGGGCCATGTATCGTGAGATTTTGAGTGAAAACCTCCTTCCATCAGCAAGGGCATTGAAGATGAAACGTGGCTGGGTCTTTCAGCATGACAATGATCCTAAACACACCGCCCGGGCAACGAAGGAGTGGCTTCGTAAGAAGCATTTCAAGGTCCTGGAGTGGCCTAGCCAGTCTCCAGATCTCAACCCCATAGAAAATCTTTGGAGGGAGTTGAAAGTCCGTGTTGCCCAACGACAGTCCCAAAACATCACTGCTCTAGAGGAGATCTGCATGGAGGAATGGGCCAAAATACCAGCAACAGTGTGTGAAAACCTTGTGAAGACTTACAGAAAACGTTTGACCTGTGTCATTGCCAACAAAGGGTATATAACAAAGTATTGAGAAACGTTTGTTATTGACCAAATACTTATTTTCCACCATAATTTGCAAATAAATTCATTAAAAATCCTACAATGTGATTTTCTAGATTTTTTTCTCATTTTGTCTGTCATAGTTGACGTGTACCTATGATGAAAATTACAGGCCTCTCTCATCTTTTTAAGTGGGAGAACTTGCACAATTGGGGCTGACTAAATACTTTTTTCCCCCACCGTATAAGCTTGGAGGTAAGAAATGGAACAGATTTCTGTGGTGGTGCGTTACATGAGAACGGGATACTCGGGGAGTTCCTACACTTCACAGCAGCTGAAGGTTTGGATGATAGTCGCTGCTGATTCATCTCTGTATTGTGCCTTTTGCTAGAGGAGCTTGATGGGTTACGAAACAAAGGCCTGGGTTACGAAACAAAGGCCTGGGTTACGAAACAAAGGCCTGGGTTGCGAAACATATTTAAAATGACTTGTATAATGTTTCTAGGCTGTAGTCTTTACAATATGATTTCTGTAGGCCTTTAGTGCCCTAAAGCCCTTCTATCGAGAAGCAAAATAAAGAGGCTTAACTGTAGGACTCATGAGACATGAGAAATAAATGCACAATTCTCGTTGTGATGGCGAATATCAGGAGTCGGAGAACCGAGCAGAGTGCGGGGCAGTCCGGTGCTGAAATCTTTTCGTCCGACTTTTGCGGGCTCAGCCAGCGCCGGCCTGCCCGTGGTGCTGAATAATGTAGGCCTATGGTTTCACACTCGCACTTTTCAAACCCATATTTGCCATATATTTCACGTGATATGTGTAGGCTACTATTGTACTACATAATTGGTACGCCGTATACCTCCACTACACTACTTTGACACCCATCAGTGGGGATTAAGAAGTGAATATACCAATGCCCATTGAAAAAAATGTGGATATAACCTCCACTACACCACTGCCCGACATATTTAAGTGAAAATTAGTGCAATCACATTAGCATCATTTAACACAACACAGGGTTAATGTGACCCCCAAAAAAAGTCACAAAGTGCTATACAGAAAACCCAGCCTAAAACCCCAAGCAATGCAGATGTAGAAGCACGGTACCTAGTCAATGTGCAGGGGTACGAGGTAATAACATGGCTATATACACAGGGTACCAGTACTGAGTCTATGTGCAGGGGTACGAGGTAATTGAGGTAGATATGCACATATAGGTCGGGATAAAGTGACTCGGCAACAGGACAGACAATAAACAGCAGCGTACGTGATGAGTCAAAAGAGTTAGTGCAAAAAGGTTCAATAGTTAACCAATAGTGACCCGGACTAACGCTTTGAATCCATTGAATCAGCTAACATAAACCTGGTCTACCAAGGCAGGAAGGAAAACATTAAATCATTATACATAATACCATGGTGGGTATGAATACACTGTCCATACCACTTTTCCATTGATCACTGTAGAGGGGAAGACTCAGCAGTGTTGGTTGTGTGGTGACATGCTCACCATGACCATGCTGGACAATGGTGAGCTAACTGGGCTGTGGAAGTCCAAGCTTTAGCCATGCTAGCATCCTCGTGGGCTGACATGCTAACCTCCTCGTGGGCTGACATGCTAGCATCCTTGTGGGCTGACATGCTAGCATCCTCGTGGGCTGACATGCTAACCTCCTCGTGGGCTGACATGCTAGCATCCTTGTGGGCTGACATGCTAGCATCCTCGTGGGCTGACATGCTAACCTCCTCGTGGGCTGACATGCTAGCATCCTCGTGGGCTGACATGCTAACCTCCTCGTGGGCTGACATGCTAACCTCCTCGTGGGCTGACATGCTAACCTCCTCGTGGGCTAACATGCTAGCATCCTCGTGGGCTGACATGCTAGCATCCTCGTGGGCTGACATGCTAGCATCCTCGTGGGCTGACATGCTAACCTCCTCGTGGGCTGACATGCTAACCTCCTCGTGGGCTGACATGCTAGCATCCTCGTGGGCTGACATGCTAACCTCCTCGTGGGCTGACATCCTAACCTCCTCGTGGGCTGACATGCTAACCTCCTCGTGGGCTGACATGCTAACCTCCTCGTGGGCTGAGATGCTAACCTCCTCGTGGGCTGACATGCTAACCTCCTCGTGGGCTGACATGCTAGCATCCTCGTGGGCTGACATGCTAACCTCCTCGTGGGCTGACATGCTAGCATCCTCGTGGGCTGACATGCTAACCTCCTCGTGGGCTGACATGCTAACCTCCTCATGGGCTGATGATGACTGACAGATTAGGCTGATGAAGATGACAGATTAGGCTGATGAAGATGACAGATTAGGCTGATGAAGATGACAGATTAGGCTGATGATTGAGAAGGTGTTGTCGGTTGTGTGTTCATCCTTCATATGTGGCTTTTTGAAAATGCTCATGAGTGAACTTTGCTTTGCCATCATTTGTGACTGGCTAACACTAGATCGCTATAGCAAAGAGGGTCAAAAACAATTGATGGGATCTTTTTGTCTGTAAAATTAATAATGTGCGAGCTGTTGGCTAGAGTGCATGTGCCAAGACCAGAGTGGGCACATTTGCTATTTAACGCAAGTTGTGACAAAACTATTGGTAGATTAGAAAATGCGATGGAAACGCATTGCACTTTACATTTTTGTCAAGGCATATGAACTCACAGGTTATAGAGCAAACAACGCAATTATCACAACACATAGGTTTGTAATATTTAAAAAAAAAATCTGGATTGGCTTCCCTGGTGATTTTACCCACGCACCGCTACTGACCTGATATTTAAAACAAACAGTATTGGAATCACCACGGTCACAATTACTACTGCTACTTGAATGAAGTAAAATGGCATTACTGTCAACTCTGTCAGAGTGCTGTAAGATCTGATGGAATGGTTGTTTTTAATTGGAGATTTTTAAATGAATCATTTTCCATATTTTACAAATGTTTGCAGTGAGCAAAAATGTCTGTTCTGAGTATCTGTCAACTCCGTCACTGATGGAGTCACTTTTTTTGGTCAATATTTTTGAAAAAGTAAATGTAATCACTGTTCTGCAACATATGCTTAAACAATTGAAGTATTTGCAGTGTTAGACCTAAGTGATAATGTGTGCTTTATAAATAACGTCCCAAATGAAGAAAAACATGCCAAAATCCTAATGAAATGTAATAGTGCTATAAAACAAAAATGTTGATCTCTATTACATATTTGAATAATTTAATGTAAGAATTAAAACAAGCAATGCCTTTAAAACAATTGTTTGACAATAAAGTACTTTATATATGTCATGTCTTTTTCAGAGGGGGGTTACAGGTACAGATTAAAAATAAAATAACCCCTACCCACTCGAAAGAGTCAGGATTCCACAAGCCTCTCGTTCACCAAAGGGGGCTTATTGGCCCCTGTCATTTGTGACCGAGACTTGTAAACGTGGGCTTTAAAACAAAATGTACATTTATTGCCTACAAATACTATTATTTCTTGATCCATTTGAAACGCGGTCTAGATGTGGCAGCAACCGGACTAGATTGTGAAGGACTCTTGGCGGAATGCGGTGAGGGTGATAAACACGAGCCTGGCTGACTTCGAGCTGGTGTCGGACCAGATAAGCAGGTCGTTCGATCAAACACATTTGATCTCGAGTTCAATCCGCAGAGGCTGTGTATCTTTTGGCTCTACACAGTGGTGTCCATAACATTCAATTCATTGCAGTCATTATTGCACCATGACATCAATTGTCAGTTCTAAACATGAATTTGTCTTCGCATGTGACAGTTAATAATAATAATAATAATAATATGCCATTTAGCAGACGCTTTTATCCAAAGCGACTTACAGTCATGCGTGCATACATTTTTTGTGTGTATGGGTGGTCCCGGGGCGTTACAAGCACCGTGCTCTACCAGCTGAGCTACAGAGGACCACCAGTTGAGGGTCGGCGCACGTCTCTGGAGCCACGGAGTGTAGTAACCCTGCTGCAGGGCTCACTGCACTAGCAGGTCAAACTGATGACTCAAATTAACCAGTCACTCAGAAAAACAACTCGAGTCAGTAAAAAAAAAGTAGTTATTGCGAACTGCACATCACTACTCGAATAGCAGTAATTGAGAAGCCTGTGCTTCAGAGGCTACTTGTTGTGTATGTACCGACGTGTGGAACTGATAGATTTAAAAACATTAACGTGTAGTGTGTGCGTCTATGTAAAGTCTTGTCTGTGATGTATTCTCCGTTAAATGTAAATATGTCGTACCCAAGTAAGACGAGTTGTCGCCATTTGGCGTCTGCTAATGGGGATCCTAATAAATTCAAATCAATTTAGACAAACCACAGGAGGCTAGAACCAGCAGCAACTATTTGATGAAGGCTGAAACGTTTAATAGTTGTATCAATACATTAAATGGTGAGCTAGCGTTGCCCTTTTTCAATGATATTTTTTTAAGTTACACCTCGATTCACATCGGTTGAGCACCCTCCACTTGTTTCCACTCACTGGGTCAGAAAGGTAAAAGAGCAACACATTAGTCAATCTCAAAATGCATCTTTATTCACAATATTTCTTTATACAATATATTCATCTTTTTAATAATTACAAGTGTGTTACACACAGGACAATCCACACCAGACAAATTAAAAGTGCAGAATGAGAGCGGGAAGTATTGCTGTACATTCTCAAAAATCACCAGTTATTAATTTCACAACATGTGCATCAAACAACTCACTGACGGCAAACACAGAGCTGAAATGGTTCAATACAAATCTGGACGGCCAAGGCGCTTCAACAGTTTCTAAACAGCTCTCCTTCCAGACCTCTCTACCCCTCTCTCTCCTTCCAGACCTCTTTCCCCCCTCACTCTCCTTCCAGACCTCTCTCCCCCTCACTCTCCTTCCAGACCTCTCTCCTTCCAGACATCTCTCCCCCTCACTCTCCTTCCAGACCTCTCTCCTTCCAGACATCTCTCCCCCTCACTCTCCTTCCAGACATCTCTTCCCCTCACTCTCCTTCCAGACATCTCTCCTTCCAGACCTCTCTACCCCTCACTCTCCTTCCAGACATCTCTCCCCCTCACTCTCCTTCCAGACATCTCTCCCCCCCTCACTCTCCTTCCAGACATCTCATCCCCCCTCACTCTCCTTCCAGACATCTCTCCCCCCTCACTACTCCTTCAACATCTTCTCCCCCTCACTCTCCTTCCAGACCATCTACCCCCTCCCTATCCTTCAGACATCTCTCCCCCCTCACTCTCCTTCCAGACCTCTTCCCCCCCCCCCCCCCCCCCTCACTCTCCTTCCAGACATCTCTCCCCACTCACTCTCCTTCCAGACCTCTCTCCCCTCACTCCCTTCCAGACATCTCTTCCCCCCTCTCTCTCCTTCCAGACATCTCTCACCCCCTCTCTCTCCTTCCAGGACATCTCTCCCCCTCACATCTCCTTCCAGCATCTCTCCCCCCTCACTCTCCTCCAGACATCTCTCCCCCCTCACTCTCCGTCCAGGACATCTCTCCCCCCCCCTCACTCTCTTCCAGCAGACAGTCTCTCCCCCCTCACTCTCCTTCCAGACATCTCTCCACCCCCTCACTCTCCTTCCAGACATCCTCTCCCCCCTCACTCTCCTTCCAGAATCTCTCCCCCCATCACTCTCCTTCCAGACATCTCTCCCCCTCTCTCTCCTTCCAGACATCTCTCCCCCCTCACTCTCCTTCCAGACATCTCTCCCCCCTCACTCTCCTTCCAGACATCTCTCCCCCCTCACTCTCTTTCCAGACATCTCTCCCCCTCTATTCACCAAATTCTGCTTAGCCAGTCATTCTAAATGCCCTGGACTCAGAAAGCATTGACACATTCAACTCTAGGTACAGAACAATAGCCAAGGCATCTCGCCAACGTGTTGAAAGCTATTAGGCGAACACTATCAACATCAATGCAATGTTTGGAAGACTTCACTATGAACACTTCAGACCACCTCAGGACTCCGTCAACTCCTCATTGAAAAGAGACTCAACATGACAATGTTCTGCGTTGTCTTTGAAAAGAGACTCAACATGACAATGTTCTGCGTTGTCTTTGAAAAGAGACTCAACATGACAATGTTCTGCGTTGTCTTTGTAAAAAACAGGTTTTCTCCATTATTGCATCTTCGCTAGCAGCAAATGTCCTCTGACTGACAATGCAGACACTGGATTGGACAGACAGGTTGAGGCCCGGGTATGACCAGAACCAAAAGATCCAGGCCATCAACCAGTGTTCCATGACGTTCTATTTAGCCAGAATCACATTCAATGTCTTGAACAGTTGGCGACAACATGGCCGACATTCAAACTAAGTTAACCAAACTCTACACCTACACATTGCCTATCCCAGGGCCAGCACCCTGCCCTAACCCCCCGCCCCCTGCCCTAACCCCCCGCCCCCCGCCCTAACCACCCGCCCTAACCCAGTTCAACACAGTGTCTTCCTAACAGCTCTAACCATATCTCTCCTGAACTGCATCAGATCACACTGCTCCAGCTCATCATATCTGCCTGAACGTAGGAAACAGAGGACGGTGGTTTTACAGGCTTCTTTACAGGGCTCTGACACGTGGCCTTTATGTCTGAGGTACCAGAACCGCTGGAACACACGGTCGTCCTGGAGGAAGGTCCGGATCAGCCCGTCCCAGTCCGACGGGAACAGGGAGGAGACGCCGTAGGCTTCCGACGCGCGGTAGAGGAGGGTCCATTTGGGGTTGGGGTCAGGGTTGGGGTAGAGGGGGAGTTGTGAGGTGGTGGGGAGCAGGGAGGAGACTCCTTCAGGCTGTCGGTTAGCCTCTGTAAGGTTTAGGATGTACGTCTCATGGTCCAGAACGAACCGAGAACTGCCCTTGTAGTTACCGTCAACCAGGTAGACCCGGTAACCTGGCAACCAGAAACAACATTTAGAGAAGTTGTACGGAAAATGTTTGAAATGTTTCTAGAACATGACTATACAACAGTTTCATGAGGTCTTGTCCTCTGACAGAGTAGAAGAGACCATACATTCTGATTTAGGGGGGGTGGGGTGTTATAACAGAGGTGAGATTAGGACAGGGGTCTGGGATAGGCAATCGGTGGGTATAGAGTCTGTCTGACATGGGGTTTGAGGTTGTACGCGCACGTCTATGTGCACGAGTGATAACTGTAAAAGTATCTGACCTGGGTTGAGGTTTGTGTGCCTGGGTTGAGGTTTGTGTGCCTGGGTTGAGGTTTGTGTGCCTGGAAAGAGGTTTGTGTGCCTGGAAAGAGGTTTGTGTGCCTGGAAAGAGGTTTGTGTGCCTGGAAAGAGGTTTGTGTGCCTGGGTTGAGGTTTGTGTGCCTGGGTTGAGGTTTGTGTGCCTGGGTTGAGGTTTGTGTGCCTGGGTTGAGGTTTGTGTGCCTGGGTTGAGGTTTGTGTGCCTGGGTTGAGGTTTGTGTGCCTGGGTTGAGGTTTGTGTGCCTGGGTTGAGGTTTGTGTGTGTGTACCTGGGTTGAGGTTGACATAGGTGGTGACGGAGGGAGCGACGAAGGCCACGCCCACAGCCCTCGTCATCGTCTCCTCGTCATAAAACATCTGGAACTCATCCATGTGGGTGTGGCCAAAGAACTGACCCGTGATTGTACCCTCATACCTGGACACGGACGGATACACATATTAAATCTCCCACAGTAGAACAATTCTGATCCGATCCTGAACTTACATCAGTCAGAGAGAACTAGTTCTTAAACCTCTCCTCAGGGAAGACCACTATTTTGTTGTAGCTCACCTGATTAATCAACTCAAGGGCTTGATGATTAATTGACAAGTTGAACCAGGTGCGTTAGCTCTGGAATAGATCGAACACATGGAAGGGGGTCCCTGAGGAGAGGTGTGAGAACCAGTGAGAGAGAACTGAATGTCGTCTGGAGTCCACATGACGATATAAAAAAATTAACTGACTGATTGGTTCCAGTCTGGGGTTATATACACTGAACAAAAATACAAAACACAACATGTAAAGTGTTGGCCCCATGTTTCATGAGCCGAAATAAAAATATCAAATTTTCCATACGCACAAAAATATAATTTCTCTCAAATGTTGTGCACAAATTTGTTTACATCCCTGTTAGTGAGCATTTTTCCTTTGCCAAGATAATCCATCCACCTGACAGGTGTGGCATATCAAGAAGCTGATTAAACAGCGTGATCATTACACAAGTGCACCTTGTGCTGGGGACAATAAAAGGCCACTCTAAAATGTGCAGTTTTGTCACAACACAATGCCACAGACTTCTAAAGTTGAGGGAGCGTGCAACTGCTGACTGCAGGAATGTCCACCAGACCTGTTGCCAGAGAATGTAATGTTCATTTCTCTACCATAAGCCGCCTCCAACGTAGTTTGAGAATTTGGCAGTACGTCCAACCGGCCTCACAACCGCAGACCACGTGTAACCACGCCAGCCCAGGACCTCCACATCCAGCTTCTTCACCTGCGGGATCGTCTGAGACCGGCCACCCGGACAGCTGATGAAACTGAGGAGTATTTCTGTCTGTAATAAAGCCCTTTTGTGGGGAAACACTCATTCTGATTGGCTGGGCCTGGCTCCCCATTGGGTGGGCCTACGCCCTCCCAGGCCCACCCATGGCTGGGCCCCTGCCCAGACATGTGAAATCCATAGATTAGGGCCTAATGAATGTATTTAAATTGACTGATTTCATTATATGAACTGAGAGTAAAACCGTTGAAATTGTTGCATGTTGCGTTTATATTTGTGTTCAGTATATATTGAAGTGACAGTAGATTGTTCCAGTCTGGGATCATGTAGTGGCTACCAAGGAAAAGAGGACTGTTATATGACCACGTAGACACTAGCCCTTCCCCCCCCGTTGAAAGATTGGTAGAGTTAGTTACTTGACCACTAGACACTAGCCCTTCCTACCGGTTTATGATGTGGAGTAGTTATCAGTTCATGACCACGTAACACTACCCTTCCCTCCGGTTATGATGTTGTAGTATTATCAGTTACATGACCACGTAACACACCCCTTCCTTACCGTTTGATGTGGTAGTAGTTATCAGAACATACCCGTAGACATAGCCCTTCCTACCGGTTGATATGTGGTAGTAGTTATCAGTACATACCACGTAAAACATAGCCCTTTCCCACCGGTTGATGTATGGTAGTAGTTATAGTTACATGACCACGTAGACACTAGCCCTTCCTACCGGTTTTATGATGTGTAGTAGTTTATCGTTTTCATGACCAGTAGACACTAGCCCTTCCTACCGGTTGATGATGTGGTAGTAGTTATCAGTTACATGACCACGTAGACACTAGCCCTTCCTACCGGTTGATGATGTGGTAGTAGTTATCAGTTACATGACCACGCAGACACTAGCCCTTCCTACCGGTTGATGATGTGGTAGTAGTTATCAGTTACATGACCACGCAGACACTAGCCCTTCCTACCGGTTGATGATGTGGTAGTAGTTATCAGTTACATGACCCAGTAGACACTAGCCCTTCCTACCGGTTGATGATGTGGTAGTATTTATCATTTTACATGACCACGTAGACACTAGCCCTTCCTACCGGTTGATGATGGTGTAGTAGTTTTTCAGTTACATGACCACGCAGGACACTAGCCCTTCCTACCGGTTGATGATGTGGTGTAGTTTTAGTTACATTGCCCCAACGCAGACACTACCCCTTCTTACCGGTTGATGAGTGTGGTAGTGTTATCAGTTACATGACCACGCGACACTAGCCCTTTCCTACCGGTTATGGATTTTGGTAGTAGTTATCAGTTACAGACCACGCAGACACTAGCCCTTCCTACCGGTTGATAATGTGGTAGTAGTTTATCAGTTACATGACCACGCAGACACTACCCTTCCTACCGGTTGATGATGTGGTAGTAGTTATCATTTACATTGACCACGCGGGACACTAGCCCTTCCTACCGGTTGATGATGTGTAAGTAGTTATTTATCAGTTCCCATGACCACGCAGACACAAAGCCCTTCCTACCGGTTGATGATGTGGTAGTAGTTATCAGTTACATGACCAACGCAGACACTAGCCCTTCCTACCGGTTGATGATGTGGTAGTAGTTATCAGTAAAATGACCACGTAGCCCACTACCCTTCCTACCGGTTGATGATGTGGAGTAGTTACAGTTACATGACCACGCAGAAAATAGCCCCTTCCCTACCGGTTGATGATGTGGTTGGTAGTTATCAGTTTCAGCCCCACGCAGACACTAGCCCTTCCTACCGGTTGAGAATGTGGAGTAGTTATCAGTTACATGCCCAAACGTAGACACTAGCCCTTCCTACCGGTTGATGAGTGGTAGTAGTTATCAGTTACATGCCCCACGCAGACACTAGCCCTTCCTACCGGTTGATGTTTGTGGTATAGTTATCAGTTACATGACCACGCAGACACTAGCCCTTCCACCGGTTGATGATGTGGTAGTAGTTATCAGTTACATGACCACGTAGACACTAGCCCTTCCTACCGGTTGATGATGTGGTAGTAGTTATCATTTTACATGACCAGTAGACACTAGCCCTTCCTACCGGTTGATGATGTGGTAGTAGTTCCAACTCCAGCTGCTCAAACAGAGACCAGGGGGGATGTGACCAATGATGTGGACCTGAGACAGACAGACAGACAGGAGGGGGGACCAGACAGACAGGAGGGGGAGAGGGACGGGACAGACGGAGGGGGAGGGACAGACGGGGGGGGAAAAGGGACAGACAGGAGGGGGAGAGGACAGACAGGAGGGGGAGAGGGACGACGACAGGAGGGGGAGGGGGACAGACAGACAGGAGGGGGAGAGGGACAGACAGGAGGGGGAGGGGAAACAGACAGGGGGGGGGAGAGGGACAGACAGACAGGAGGGGGGGAGAGGGACAGACAGACAGGGGGGGGAGAGGGAACAAAAGACAGGAGGGGAGGGGGACAGACAGACAGGGGGGGGAGAGGGCCCGACAGACAGGAGGGGGGACAGACAGACAGGAGGGGGGGACAAAACAGACAGGAGGGGGGGACAGAAGACAGGGGGGGGAAAGAGGGACAGAAAACAGGAGGGGGAGAGGGAACAGAAAGAAAAAGGAGGGGAGAGGGACAGACAGACGGAGGGGGAGAGGGACAGACAGACAGGAGGGGGAGAGGGACAGAAAGACAGGAGGGGGAGAGGGACAGAAAGACAGGAGGGGAGAGGGACAGAAAGACAGGAGGGGGAGAGGGACAGAAAGACAGGAGGGGGAGAGGGACAGACAGACAGGAGGGGGAGAGGGACAGACAGACAGGAGGGGGAGAGGGACAGGACAGACAGGAGGGGGAGAGGGACAGACAGGAGGGGGAGAGGGACAGACAGGAGGGGGAGAGGGACAGACAGGAGGGGGAGAGGGACAGACAGGAGGGGGACATACAGACAGGAGGGGGAGAGGGACAGACAGGGGGGGAGAGGGACAGACAGGATGGGGGACAGACAGACAGGAGGGGGGACAGACAGACAGAGGAGGGGGGACAGACAGGAGGGGGAGAGGGACGGGACAGGAGGGGAAGAGGGACAGACAGGAGGGGGAGAGGGACAGACAGACAGGAGGGGGAGAGGGAAAAGACGGGAGGGGGAGAGGGGAAACAGACAGACGGGAGGGGGAGAGGGACAGACAAAGACAGGAGGGGGAGAGGGACAGACAGACAGGGGGGGGAGAGGGACAGACGGGGACAGGAGGGGAAGAGGGACAGACAGACAGGAGGGGGAGAGGGACAACAGACAGGGGGGGGAGGGGGACGGCCCGACAGGAGGGGGAGGGGGACGGGCCCAGAAGGAGGGGGAAAAGGGGACAGAAAGACAGGAGGGGGGGGGAGGGGGGGACAGACAGACAGGGGGGGAGAGGGACGGGACAGACGGGAAGGGGGGGGAAAGGGGACAGCCCAGGAGGGGGGACAAGACAGGGAGGGGGAGGGGGAAACAGACAGGGGGGGGGGGGGGGAAAGGACAGGAGGGGGAGGGGGACGGACGGGAAGGGGGGGAGAGGGACGACGGGACAGGGGGGGGGGAGGGACAGACGGGAAAAAAGGGGGGGAGGGGGAAACGGGGACGGGACAGGGGGGGGGAGGAGAGGGAACAAAAAGGGACAGGGGGGGGGGAGAGGGGACCGACAGACAGGAGGGGGGAGAGGGACGGGACAGACAAGGGGGGGGGAGAGGGACAGACAGACAGGAGGGGAGGGGGGACAGAAGACGGGAAAGGGGGGGGGGGGGGAAACGGGACAGACAGGAGGGGGGGGAGGGACAGACGGACGGGAAGGGGGAGGGGGAAAGGGGGAGGAAGGGAACAGACAGACAGGAGGGGGGGGACAGACGGGGGGAAAACAGGACAGGAGGGGGGGGGACAGACAAGGGGGGGGAGAGGGGGAGGGGGGGGGGAAAAAGGGGACGGGACAGGAGGGGGAGAGGGGACGGGACAGGGGGGGGGGAGAGGGGGACAGCAGGGGGGGGAGGGGGAACGGGACAGACAGGGGGGGGAGGGGGAAACCAGACAGGGACGGGGAAGGGGGGGGAGGGACAGACAGACAGACGGGGGGGGAGAGGGGACGACAGACGGGAGGGGGGGGGGGGACGACAGACAGGAGGGGGAGAGGACCGGAAAACGGGAAAGGGGGGGAGGAAGACAGACGGGGGGGGGGGGGGGGAAGAACGGGGGGAAACAGCCAGCAAAGCAAAGACCCCCAAAACAAGAAAAAAAAACCCAAGGGGGAAAAAAACAAAAAAAAAAAAAAAGGCCCCCCCCCAAACCCCCAAACAAACACCAACAAAAAAAAACAAAACCCCAAACCCCAAACCCCCAAAAAAAAAAAAAAAAACCCCCCCCCCCTAAAAAAAAAAAAAAAAAAGGGGGGGGGGGGGGGGGGGGGGGGGGGGGTTTCCCCCCCCCCATATTTTTCTTGGGCATTTAAATAAAATTAGATTGAAAGGACCTAACTTTAAATTACCAAATTTTCCCCACCCCCGTGGGGTTTGGGGCTTTGCCCCTCTCTTTTCCCAGTAGTGCGTATTTTGGCCAGCCACCTGGAGTGGGCTCAAAAACCCCCTTCCTCCCAGTAGCCTGCAGTATATTGGCCCGCCACCTGGAGCTGGTCATCTATAACCCTCCTCCCTCCCAGTGCCCCCGATTTTGGGCCAGCCCCCTGGGCGGTATCTATAACCCTCCTCCTCCTCCCAGTAGCCTGCAGTATATTGGCCAGTGGAGCGGTTTTTTTCAATAGCCTGCAGTAATTGCAGCACGGAGCTGGCATCTATAACCCTCCCCCCCCAGAGTGTGGGCCTGCATTTATTTGGCCGCCATGGAGGGGGGTCATCTTTAACCCTCCCCCTCCCTTAGCCGCAGATATTGGCCAGCCAGGGGGGGGAGCTGGTCATCAAAACCCCTCCTCCTCCCGAGCGCATATTTTGGGCCAGCCCACTGGAGCTGGATTTTAAAACCCCTCTCCTCCCAGTGCTGCAGTATTTTTGCCCCACCTGGAGGGCATCTAAACCTCCCCTCCCATAGCTGCAGTATTTTGGCCAGCCCCCTGGAGTGGTCATTATAACCCTCTCCCAGTAGCCCCCAGTTTGGCCAGCCCTGGAGCTGGTCATTAAACCCTTCCTCCCAGTACCCTGCGGGGTTTTGGGCCCGGCACCGGAGCGGTCATCTAAACCCCTCCTCCAGTAGCCGCATTAGGCCGCCCCCCTTTTTTGGGGGTATTAAAACCCCTCCCCCTCCAGTAGCCTGAAAAGTATATTGGGCCGCCCCCTGGGGGGTCTCTATAACCCCCCTCCTCCCAGTAGCCGATATTTTGCCAGCCCCCTGGAGCGGTTATATAACCCTTTTCCTCCCCTCCAGTAGCCCTGCAGTATTGGCCAGCCACCGGAGCTGGTATCTTAACCCTCCTCCTCCCCAGTAGCCGCTTTTATTTTGGCCAGCCCCCGGGCTGGTCATCATAACCCCCCTCCTCCAGTACCCCGCTTTAATTGGACCCCAGGGAGGGTATCTAAAACCCCTCTCCTCCCAAGTAGCCCGCAGTAATGCCTCCCATGAGTGAATTTCCTTTCCTAGTTTTCCTGCATTATTGGCCCCAGCACCTGGAGCTGGTCATTCCCCCTCCCCTCCCCCCAGTAGCTTCAGATTTTGCCCAGCCACGGGCGGTCACTAAAACCCCTCCTCCTCCCAGAGCCGCATTATTGGCCCAGCCACTGGAGCGGCATTAAACCCCCCTCCCCCCAGTACCCCTGAGTATTTTGGCCAGCACGGGAGCTGGCATCAAAACCCCCTCCTCCCCAGTAGCCTGCAGTATATTGGCAGCCACCGGGAAAGTGGTATTATAACCCTCCTCCTCCCCCCAGTACCCCTGCAGAAGGGCCACCCCACCGGAGGGTCTTTAACCCTCCTCTAAAGTAGCCTGAGTATATTGGCCAGAAACCTGGAGTGGAATTAAAACCCCTCCTCCCATCCCGTAGTGCGATTTGGCCAGCACTGGGGGTTTTAAAACCCTCCCCTCCCAGTAGCCCGCGTATTTTGGCCAGCCACGGGGAGCGGCATCCCTTTTTAAAACCCTCCTCCTCCCCCAGGACCCGCGGGGATAGGGGCCAGCCCCCCTGGAGTGGTCATCTAAACCCCCTCCCCCAAAGTAGCCGCAGTTTTTGGGAAAAGAAAAGGAGCTGGTATCAAAAACCTCCTCCTCCCAAGTACCCGGCCAGTTTTTGGGCCAGGCACCTGGAGTGGATTAAAACCTTTCCTCCCCAGAAAGCCGCAGTATATTGGCACCCCACCTGGGGCTGGTCTTTATAACCCTCCCCCCCAGTAGCTAGGAAGGGCCACCCCACTGGAGTGGTTCTTAAAAACCCCCCCCCCCTCCCTTTTCCCCTCGCGCCTTTGTAGTATGGGACAGCCACGGAGTGGTAGAGGGCAGTGAGTGACCATCACCCAGAAATTTTTCCCCGGCACAAAACTCATGTTCAGGGAACACCGAAGACCTGGCTGGACCTCTACCGTGTAGAACCCACCATGCGGATAGAGGGGTGAGGGAGAGGGGTGAGGGAGAGCGAGGGAAACAAATTAGCAGAAATATAAAAGCCTCAATCACAGAGAAATGACACAAACCCAAATGCCCCCGGGCCCCGGTTATGTAAACATCTCTAAAAACCTTTTGTCCCCAAAGGGGAAAAAAAGGGGAGGGGGACTATGGTCGCCCAAGGGGAAATGGAGGGGGACTATGGTCGCCCAAGGGGAAATCGGTCGCCGTCCGGGGACTATGGTCGCCGTCCGTTTGTTAGTAGGCATGTTAGTCACACGTGATCTCATTGACAACTTGGCTGAATAACGAGTCATTAAGATCCAGCAGAATGGCCAGGGGGTCGCTATAGTAACCAACTGAAATCTATTGGGACCCATCAAGTTGAATGTTTTCACTTATTAATTAATGCAAATTTGTTATAAAATTGTCACGAATTGGCCCAAGGGGGGTGTGCTGCATCATTCGTGGGGGGACGACATTGTTTACTATTGCCTTGTTTAGGGGTAAACTACTCCATTAACTAGTTCCTCTGAGTCTGTGACCAGCAACTAACCCATACCCTTTCTGGTGCCTGGCCCAACCTCCACCACCACAGATGGGCCTACAGTGGATTCAGAAAGTATTCAGACCCCTTTACTTTTTCCACATTTTGTTACAGCCTTATTCTAAAACGGATTACATTGTTGTTGTTTTTTTACCCATCGATCTACACACAATACCTCATAATGACAAAGCAAAAACAGGTTTATAAAAAACAGAAATATCACATTTACATAAGTATTCAGACCCTTTACTCAGTACTTTGTTGAATAACCTTTGGCAGCGATTACAGCCTCGAGTCTTCTTGGGTATGACGCTACAAGCTTGGCACACCTGTATTTGGAGAGGTTCTCCCATTCTTCTCTGCAGATCCTCTCAAGCTCTGTCAGGTTGTAATGGGAGCGTTTTCACATTTTCAAGGACATTCGGAGACTTGTCCCGAAGCCACTCCTGCGTTGTCTTGGCTGTGCGCTTAGGGTCGTTGTCCTTCTGGAAGGTTCTCCCATCTCCACAGAGGAACTCTAGAGCTCTGTCAGATTGACCATCGGGTTCTTGGTCACCTCCCTGACCAAGGCCCTTCTCCCCCAATTGCTCAGTTTGGCTGGGCGGCCAACTCTAGGAAGAGTCTTGGTGGTTCCAAACTTCTTCCATTTAAGAATGATGGAGGCCACTGTGTTCTTTGGGACCTTCAATGCTGCAGACATTTTTTGGTACCCTTCCCCAGATCTGTGCCTCGACACAATCCTGTCTCAGAGCTCTACAGACAATTCCTTTGACCTCATGGCTTGGTTTTTGCTCTGATATGCACTCTCAACTGTGGGACCTTATATAGACAGGTGTGTGCCTTTCCAAATCATGTCCAATCAATTGAATTTACCACAGGTGGACTCCAATCAAGTTGTAGAAACATCAAGGATAAATCAATGGAAACAGGATGCACCGGAGCTCAATTTCAAGTCTCATAGCAAAGGGTCTGAATACTTATTTAAATAAGGTATTTGTTTTTTTATTTTGAATAAATGTGCAAACATTTCTACAAACCTGTTTTCGCTTCGTCATTATGGGGTATTGTGTGTAGAATTTTTATTGATTTAATCCATTTTTGAATATGGCTGTAACGTAACACAACGTGGAAAACGGGAAGGGGTCTGAAACTGTCCGAATGCACTGTATGTTTAGCTGATCCAGTCGGGAGGGGGGAGGAGATACCTGGTCAGTTGCACAACTAAATGATATACATTCAACTAAAATGTCTTCCACAGTTAACCCAACCCCTCTAAAATCAGAGAGGTGTGGAGGGGCTGCCTTAAAATGACGTTGACGGCACTGGACCCATGTGTTGCTGGCCCAGACAGGTAGTGTTCCTCTGCCCAGGCGTTGCTGAAGCATGCCAGATCTCACAACGCCTGGATAGGTGTTTTAACATGTCAGCTAACCACATCATGATACTTGCAATCTGGTGCCCAAATGCAGTCATTGAGTCAACTCCCGAGTGGCGCAGTGGTCTAAGGCTGTGCCACTAGAGATCCTGGTTCGAATCCAGGCTCTGTCGTAGCCGGCCGCAACCGGGAGACCCATGGGGCGGTGCACAATTGGCCCAGCGTCGTCCAGGGTAGGGGAGGGAATGGCCGGCAGGGATGTAGCTCAGTTGGTAGAGCATGGCGTTTGCAACGCCAGGGTTGTGGGTTTGATTCCCACGGGGGGTATGAAAAAATAAATAAAAATAATAATAATGTATGCACTCACTAACTGTAAGTCGCTCTGGATAAGAGCGTCTGCTAAATGACGTAAAATGTGACGTGGCACATAACCATTGGTTGATGCATGCAATGTCTGAGCAGGGGAACACAACCGCCACCTCAGCAGAACTACTCCCCACTACAGATGGCTACTCCCCCATCTGGGATCAGTTTCCCGCTAGATACAGATATGGGATCAGCTTTAGTGGGGGGAAAAGCTGACCCAGGATCAGCATCTAGGGGGAACTTCCTACCCTACTCCATCCAACCCTGTAGGCCCATTTGGCTGCTGAGCTAGAAGATTATTCAGTCAATCATCATCATACCTAAGGGTCTTCAGGGCCTGTTCTGGTAACCATGGCGCCCACTCCTCGGCCATGGTGTCATAGAGCCAGCTTGACGACCGGTTGCCATGGACGAACGGCGGGGGGAAACTGTTGACAGGTGTGCTCTCATGGTTACCGATCGCCGGGTACACCTTCACGTTACCTAGGTGACTACAGAGAGAGAAGAAGAATAAGGTGGTCAGTTACCGTTCAACCTGTGTGTGAGATTGTGTATCCCCATGTGTACCTGTGTATCAGTCTGGTGATAACGGAGAGTTCAGACAGTTGTTGATTCCTGGTTTGAGACCAGATGTTATGAGCGGGTATATCTCCCGTCCAGTAGACCCAGTCCCATGGTCCGGTTCTAGCTGCGTTCTCCAACAGGTTCTCCACAGTTCTCAGGGGCAGGTCACATTTACTGTAGGAGCCCCAGAACCCAGCCCCTCTCCGACGCCAGCTGGGAGATCCAGACTCGTTACGACAACACAGCGGGTCCTTACAGTCAGCAGAGCTGCCCACCGCATACTCCTGTTCACAAATAACACCAGTATGGACATTAGATTTATTTATTTATTTGTTATTTGATTAGGATCTCCATTAGCTGTTGCGAAAGCAGCAACTACTCTTCCTGGGGTTGTCATGACATTACAGAACATTAATGATGATTGCCACAATGCTTGAAGCGATCATCTTGCGTTAGTTGAAGCTAAACTTAATGAAATGCCTATAAAGTTATCCCCCCCCCCCCCTTTTAGTTTTAGATGCATTTAAAGATCAGTTTATTTTATTAATTTTTTGATCACCCATTCTAATACTGTTTAACTCCTTATTTAGAATTTCAGTGAGCTCAACTGGCTTTTGGTGCTGACATGCAGAGTGTGAATCATCAGTAATAATAATAATAATAATAATAATAATATGCCATTTAGCAGACGCTTTTATCCAAAGCGACTTACAGTCATGCGTGCATACATTTTTTTTGTGTATGGGTGGTCCCGGGGATCGAACCCACTACCTTGGCGTTACAAGCGCCGTGCTCTACCAGCTGAGCTACAGAGGACCACATCAGCATTCAGTCATTCTAGCTTCTTGTCCAAATAAAGAGTAAGAGCCCAAGGAAGAGCCCTGAGGGACACCGCACATCCCATTGGCCAACGTACAATCACTGGATAATAAACTGGATGATCTCCGTTTGAAGACTATCCGACCAACGGGACATTAAAAACTGTAATATCTTAATGTTGTTTCACTGAGTCGTGGCTGAACGACGACATGGATCTATGCGAAGGGAGATGTGTCCCGCTGAATGAGGCAAAATGGTGGTCACCAATGTTCCCTACATTTTTTCGGCATGGAGCAAATTTCAGGTCTGTTGAGCGCAAACTTGAACGTTGTGAAAGTTCTGTGCAACTGCCAGCGCGCGTTTACTACGAACACTGAGGCTGTACCCGCTTGAAGTTAGTTTTAAACAGTGGCCAAGTAGGCTGCTGTGGCTATTTGATCATAATGTAGGCCTACCAGAGTGGCCTACCTTCAAAAACAATGGAGAAAATGCATCCCATAACATTTTAACATGGAAAATAGCTGTTCTATCATTCAGCCTACAGTAGCAGCCAATGTGTGGTGTTCAATGTAGACCTACATTCCATGAGACTTTTGAAAAAAAAAAAAAAATTGCAGGGCGTGACAACCTGTTTATCCACTTGTCCTTCAGACAAGGTGACTGAAAGTGTTGTTTGATACAAGAAACTACTTCAAAATAAAAATGCATTATTCCCATAACATTATTGCGTTGAATCGATCACAAATAGTGTTAACAGGGGAGTCAAGATCACCGAGTCAAAACGAAATCCGAGATCTACCCAGATTATTATTTTTTAACAGGATTTAAAAACATAAGCCTATGCAACATTAACCAATTAAAAACAGTACTGTACCAATGAGGTTTGTGCAGTAGGCTATAGGTCCAATACATGATCACTGCATATTGGCTTTGCTTCTATTGCCCGGCCAATGCATTGTTTCTGCCATTTCAAAAAATATATATATTTAAATTAAATAATGAGCTTTATATTTTACTGGGCTGATGGTGCCTCCATCTGATGGTCCGTCTCAGTGGAGGGAGAGAGCAGCAGACTAAGGGGTTCGCCTCTCACCAGCCCTCCGCTCTCCCTTTCCTTCGCCTCTCACCAGCCTCCCTCTCGCCTTCCTTCCTCCTCCGCCTCTCACCAGCCCTCCTCTCTCCCCTTTCCTTCGCCTCTCTCACCAGCCCTCCTCTCTTCCCCTTTTCCTCCACTTGCCTCTCACCAAGCCCTGCCTCTGCTCGCTTTCCTCCCCACTGGCCTCTCCACCAGCCCTCCCTCTTCTCGATTTCCTTCGCCTCTCACCAGCCCTACCTCTCTTCCTTTCCTTCGTCCTCTCACCCAGCCCTCCTCTCTCCCTTTCCTTAGCCTCTCACCAGCCCTCCTCTCTCCCCCTTTCCTCCACTTGCCTATCACAGCCCATACCTCCTATCTCCCGTTTTCCTCCTACTGCCCTTCCTCAACCCAGCCCATCCTCTCTCCCTTTCCTTCGCCTTCCTCACCAGCCCTCCGCTCTCCCTTTTCCTCCAATGCTCCTCACACCAGCCCTCCTCTCCCCCTTTCTTCGCCTCTCACCAGCCCTCCTCTCTCCCTTTTCCTTCGCCTCTCACCAGCCCTCCTCTCTCCTTTCCTTCGCCTCTCACCAGCCCTCCTCCCATCTCCCTTTCCTTCGCCTCTCACCAGCCCTCCTCCTCCCTTTCCTCATGCCTCTCACCAGCCCTCCTCTCTCCCTTTCCTTCGCCTCTCACCAGCCCTCCCTCTCCTTTCCTTCCATGCCTCTCACCAGCCCTCCTCTCTCCCTTTCCTTCGCCTCTCACCAGCCCTCCTCTCTCCCTTTCCTCCACTGCCTCTCACCAGCCCTCCTCTCTCCCTTTCCTCCACTGCCTCTCACCAGCCCTCCTCTCTCCCTTTCCTTCGCCTCTCACCAGCCCTCCTCTCTCCCTTTCCTCCACTGCCTCTCACCCTCCCTCCTCCTCCCTTTCCTCCACTGCCTCTCACCAGCCCTCCTCTCTCCCTTTCCTTCGCCTCTCACCAGCCCTCCTCTCTCCCTTTCCTTCGCCTCTCACCAGCCCTCCTCTCTCCCTTTCCTTCGCCTCTCACCAGCCCTCCTCTCTCCCTTTCCTCCACTGCCTCTCACCAGCCCTCCTCTCTCCCTTTCCTTCGCCTCTCACCAGCCCTCCTCTCTCCCTTTCCTTCGCCTCTCACCAGCCCTCCTCTCTCCCTTTCCTCCACTGCCTCTCACCAGCCCTCCTCTCTGCCTCTTCCTCATCTTCCTCTCACCATGCCCACGTCCTCTCCCTCCCCTTTCCTTCCCTCCCTCACCAGCCCTCCTCTCTCCCTTTCTTCTGCCTCTCACCAGCCCTCCTCTCTCCCTTTCCTCCACCTCTCAAGCCCTCCCTTTCTCCATTTCCTTCGCCTCTCACAGCCCCTCTCTCTCCTTTCCTCCACTGCCTCTCACCAGCCCTTCCTCTCTCCCTTTCCTTCGCCTCTCACCAGCCCTCCTCTCTCCCTTTCCTTCGCCTCTCACCAGCCCTCCGCTCTCCCTTTCCTCCCACTGCCTCTCACCAAAGCCCTCCTCTCCCTTTCCTTCGCCTCTCACATCCCTCCTCTCTCCCTTTCCTCCCTCCCCTGCCTCTCACCATGCCCTCCTCTCTCCTCTCCCTTTCCTCCTTCTTCGCTCTCACCAGCCCTCCTCTTCCCTTTCCTTCTGCCTCCCCACCCCTCCTCTCTCTTCCCTTTTCCTCCACTTCCTCTCACCCACCCTCTCCTTCCCTTTCCTCCACTCTGCCTCTCACCAGCCCTCCTCTCTCCCTTTCCCCTTCACTGCCTCTCACCACCCTCCGCTCTCCCTTTCCTTCACCCTCTCACCAGCCCTCCTCTCTCCCTTTCCTCCTGCCTCTCACCAGCCCTCCTCTCTCCCTTTCCTTCCACCTCTCACCAGCCCTCCTCTCTCCCTTTCCTTCGCCTCTCACCAGCCCTCCGCTCTCCCTTTCCTTCGCCTCTCACCAGCCCTCCTCTCTCCCTTTTTCCTTCGCCTCTCACCATGCCCTCCTCTCTCCCTTTCCTCCAACCTTCTTCTCACCATCCCTCCTCTCTCCCTTTCCTCCACGCTCTCACCATCCCTCCTCTCTCCCTTTCCTCCACTCCACTTCCTCTCACCATTTCCCCTCCCCCATCCTCTCTCCCTTTCCTTCGCCTCTCACCAGCCCCATCCTCTCACCCTTTCCTCCACTGCCTCTCCCAGCCCTCCATCTCTCTCCCTTTCCTTCGCCGCTCACCACCCTCCTTCCCTTTCCTCTCTGCCTCTCACCATCCCTCCTCTCTCCCTTTCCTCTGCCTCTCACCACCTCCTCTCTCCTTTCCTTCCCTCTCCACCAGCCCTCCTCTCTCCCCTTTCCTTCGCCTCTCACCAGCCCTTCCGCCTCTTCCCTTTCCTCCACTGCCTCTCACCAGCCCTCCTCTCTCCCTTTCCTTCTCCTCTCACCAAGCCCTCCTCTCTCCCTTTCCTTCCTCCTCTCACCCAGCCCTCCTCTCCCTTTCCTCCACTGCCTCTCACCAGCCCTCCTCTCTCCCTTTCCTTGCCTCTCACCAGCCCTCCTCTCTCCCTTTCCTTCCTGCCTCTCCCCCAGCCCTCCTCTCCCTTTCCTTCCCTCCTCTCACCAGCCATCCGCTTCTCCCTTTCCTCCACTGCCTCTCAACCAGCCCTCCGCTCTCCCTTTCCTTCCACTCTCACCAGCCCTCCTCTCTCCCTTTCCTCCACTGCCTCTCACCAGCCCTCCTCTCTCCCTTTTCCTTCTGCCTCTCACCAGCCCTCCTCTCTCCCTTTCCTTCGCCTCCACCAGCCCGCTCCCCTCTCCCTTTCCACTGCCTCCTCACCACCGCCCTTCCTGCTCTCGCCTTTCCTTCCCTTCTCACCAGCCCCTCCTCTCTCCCTTTCCTCCACTGCCTCTCACCAGCCCTCCTCTCTCCCTTTCCTCGCCTCTCACCAGCCCTCCTCTCTCCCTTTCCTTCGCCTCTCACCAGCCCTCCTCTCTCCCTTTCCTCCACTGCCTCTCACCAGCCCTCCCTCCTCTCCCCTTTCCTCCACTTGCCTCTCACCAGCCCTCCTCTCTCCCCTTTCCTTCACGCCTCTCACCAGCCCTCCTCTCTCCCTTTCCTTCACCTCTCACCAGCCCCTCTCTCCCTTTCCTTCGCCTCTCACCAGCCCTCCTCTCTCCCTTTCCTTCGACCTCTCACCAGCCCTCCTCTCTCCCTTTCCTTCGCCTCTCACCAGCCCTCCGTCCTCTCCCCTTTCCTTCAGCCTCTCACCCCCAGTCCCTCCTCCTCTTCCCTTTCCTTCGCCTCTCACCAGCCTCCTCTCTCCCTTTCCTCCACTGCCTCTCACCAGCCCTCTCCTCTCTCCCTTTCCTCCGCGCCTCTCACCATCCTCCTCTCTCCCTTTCCTATGCCTCTCACCATCCCTCCTCTCTCCCTTTCCTTCGCCTCTCACCAGCCCTCTCTCTCCCTTTCCTCCACTGCCTCTCACCAGCCCTCCGCTCTCCCTTTCCTTCGCCTCTCACCAGCCCTCCGCTCTCCCTTTCCTTCGCCTCTCACCAGCCCTCCTCTCTCCCTTTCCTTCACCTCTCACCAGCCCTCCTCTCTCCCTTTCCTTCGCCTCTCACCATCCCTCCTCTCTCCCTTTCCTTCGCCTCTCACCAGCCCTCCTCTCTCCCTTTCCTCCACTGCCTCTCACCAGCCCTCCTCTCTCCCTTTCCTCCACTGCCTCTCACCATCCCTCCTCTCTCCCTTTCCTTCGCCTCTCAGCAGCCCTCCTCTCTCCCTTTCCTCCACTGCCTCTCACCAGCCCTCCTCTCTCCCTTTCCTCTCACCAGCCCTCCTCTCTCCCTTTTCTTCGCCTCTCACCAGCCCTCCTCTCTCCCTTTCCTTCGCCTCTCACCAGCCCTCCTCTCTCCCTTTCCTTCGCCTCTCACCATCCCTCCTCTCTCCCTTTCCTTCGCCTCTCACCATCCCTCCTCTCTCCCTTTCCTTCGCCTCTCACCAGCCCTCCACTCTCCCTTTCCTCCACTGCCTCTCAGCATCCCTCCACTCTCCCTTTCCTCCACTGACACTGACCACAAAAAGGGACACCGTCTTCCAGCTGATGGCGAAACTCGAGTCGCACCGCATTACTTCTGCCTCATGCACAAATTCATGTTGTTTCTCCTACGAACAGAGAATGTGAAATATTCCTCGATATTAAAAAAAGACCCAAGACGCTAATAATAACACAAGCCTATAGATCCACTTTCCTACTCATTCATTACTGCTGCAGTACTTGTTGTAGCGCTGAGTGGAAATAGGAAGAACGCGCATTTTATGGCTTATGAAAGTGTTGAATACAAAGTGTTGACAGTGCTGAGTAAGAACTTAAAAGTCACTCAAAAACAGCAGCTCTTTGCTGTATTCGTTGACGGTCTCGTCATGGTTTTAAAACGTTTTGAAATCTCACAGTATCAACTTCGCTGTAGCTTTCTTTTACGCCTGCTACGTTACTGCAGACATGGTCATCTGAGCCATCCGATTGGCCAGCGGTGGGCCTATAGTGCACTTGATTTGCTCTCTGGGAAGGCAAAGTCTGTACCTTCATGAAATGGTTCAAAACGGCAAGTTCGCCTACTACCCGGCGCGCAATAGGATGCCCTGTCACCTTAATTTAGCCACTTACTTAGATTAACCTCTTAAATGTAAACGGAAAAATGTAGATTTCCACCTAAATAGACAAACTCAAAAGTAATTTAAAGCTATTCAGGTGTAACTACATGATCCTGACTTGGTATATTTGGAAAGACATCTGAGAGATGAGTGAAATTATCATCAGAAGATAGGAGTTACATAGTTCAGAATACACAAGATCAAGCACACACACAAAATAACTTTATTTTATTTTGAAAGTCATCTTTCATTGACAAGCTGTAATAAGTGAATTATTGATGGCCCGGAGCTGGAAACACATCAGATAGGCTTCCACAACATGTGAACAATATCATAAAAAAAAATTAAAAAGGGATTGATAGACCTAACAACTAGAAATGGGCAGATGTTTTAGTATGTGTTGTCAGGTGTGGTCACGGGACGTTTCCAAGTGTCCCTAAACCTCTCCAAAGTGGCATATGTCTGTAAATTAGATAATTACAGTTTCACAATCCCTGAATGCTACTTGTTCAGTATAAAAACAATTTCTACCATATCAACCTCACTCAAACATTGTGGTGGTGTTATGGGGTATCCAGGGTACATTCAACCTCTCCAAAAGGGTCCAAATGTGGTAATTTTTGCACACTGGCTGTGCCTAAAAGTGAATGTTCACCATAGAAACTAAATTTCTACAACACCAACCTCTCTCAAACATTGCGGTGGTGTCGGGGGACATACAGGGGATATCCAAGTGTTTTTTTCAACCTCTCCAAAGTGCCTGAACATTTAGCCTAGGCATATCCAATGTTTTGCTCCCACATACAAATGAACTGTTTACATTAGCATTCGTGTTCATTTTACTTCCCAGGGTGTAGATGATTCGATTTTCACTTTCACCGTAGCTTGTGCATGTTGTGATAGTCTTTGAAGCAGGCCCTCTCTGCCAGGAAACATAATGCAAACTGGCATTTCACCCATTCTTCCCCCCCCCCTGTGTTTTGTGCAGTTTCTTCCTTTTTGTCTTTTGGTGTGTCGGATAGTGGTAACAAAAAGTCTTATACCACTTCCTGGTCTTGTGGATCGGTCGACACCCCCCACGCTGGCATTGTAGTCCTTCACAGAAACATTCTTCCCTTTTCACCCTCCTTGAGACATGGTCGTTATTGAATGCCTTATGCTGTGTGGTGAGCATGGTTACTTCCCTAGTGCCCTTCCATTTCACAAAAAGCAGCTGGTTCATCCTGATCCAACGTATGGTCCCGCTCTCCGCTGTCTTGGTCATGTGGTTTCCCTTGGTCTTGGAGAAACCCATTCTGTTAGGAGGAATGGTGCCACAAGCCCCTATTTTATTTTTCAAGAGGTCTATGAAAAGTGGATGTAGAACCATCAGACATGGTGATTGACATAGCAGTGGGGGGGGTGAAGACCTTGACCGGCGGGGGCGCTTGCTGGGGAGGGGTGGCTCTCAAACGTCCAAATCCTCTGCGGTGAATAAAATAAAGGGATATATTGTTGTAAGACACACAGAATTACAGTTGACTAAATTTACAAAACGACATTACTGTGAAGTAAAAACACCTAAACTTTCTGTACAGTGACTCACATAGGTGTGAAGCACACACACACTGCAAACAGTAACACTTTGGTGACAAAAGCAGAGGTGAGAACCACAAATAAACAATGGCCATGAGAGTTTAGTGGCCTCTCCAAAGTTACAAGGATGAAACTTAGAACAGCAAACTAATATGAAAACATAGACAATAACTACTTCGGAATTATATAACATTGAAATTACATAGGCCTACGTAAACTAAATCCAAAGCACAGAAAGCAGATAACTTATAAAAAATGAAATACATAGTAGTAGCTATATAAAGTCATTAAACTAATTTACTTACGGATCTTGGTGTGGCTTTTGGTGTGTATCGACGTATTCCATGTTTACTTAGTTTATGCTTCACAACGCTAACCGGAACGTAGGTAGCAGCCATCTTGAAATGAGGTCATCGGCTCAGCCTGCACTTATACATTCGTATCCCCATATATGGTAGTAGGTCACACCAAAGATTTTAAGGCACAGATCAATAGCCAAGACACTCTGCTTTTGCAGATAGCGGCTACCGTTCTCATACCGGACTGAATTGAATTTTTTAAAAATCTAAATAAGGTCCCCAAATACAGGGACTTTACATTTAAGAGGTTAAACAACATTTTGTATGATCCTTTATAAATTACTTTAGGCCCAACCTTTGGCCTTGTCATTGCCACAATGTTATGGTCACTACAGCCAATGGGAATTGATATTGCTTTGGAGCAAAACTCTGGAGCATTAGTGAAGATATGATCACAGATCCAACACTATTGGTATGCACTGTAGTTGGTTGAGTGATAACCTGGGTCATGTTACAGCCATTAGTCACAGAAGCTTCCTCTTCATAGCTAGTTGCCAACCAATCAGGTCACCCAGGAAATAGACCTCTGTTAACATCACACACTATCAAGCATTGCAACCATTATCCAAATACTGACTGTTAACACTTGGCCTATAGCAGCACCACTAAATAAGATGATTTAGATGAGGCAGGTGAACTTGCAACCACAACACTTAACATAAGCTTCACAGGTATATGGCTCTGAACATATACGGCATCACCTCCCCTATAGGCATTCCTGTCTTTTCTGTATATGTTATATATCGTTGTATAGCTACTGCGTTCTCAAAAGGAATGATCTAAGTGAATAGATACCCACTACTCCAGAGCACACCCAATTGAACTTGTCAACAACTTAATGATTAGCGAAATTAGGTGAGCTAGTTCAGGACTACAGCCACGGTGAAACGTCTTCCCTGAGGAGAGGCCTGAAAAACTGTGCTACCACATTGACTTACCTGATCCCAGTGTATGTCTGTGAGGAAGAGGACCCTGCTCTGTGGTGCTCCGGGCTTGGGGGGCGTGGGTGGGGTGACTGGGGGTTTTGGGATCTGGGGTAGGGTAACGTTCCAGGGGGCATAGATATCGAAGCGTCCGCATGACCTCCCCACCAGCACAGCACAGGCCTCCGACGGCCACAACAGAGACTGCTGCAAGGCCCTGAAAACAGGATGAAGGACATAACCATTACTTAAATCTACCCATCTCCATCAAAACAAAAAGGCATGTAGTCCAGGAGCAGCGAGCACGTCACCTCATTAAATAAATGCTGAGGACAGAATCTCTTCAGATGTGTATGCAGTCACTGTCCTACCATGCGCTGCAGCAGACTCATGATAGATCAGGAAAAATGTTGGATTTGAAACATTTATTCATGAAAAAGAGGATGATGTCAGAGAATCAGGACCAATCCCAAGCCTACCTGATGAAGTCATCTCTGAACAGCTCCGTGATTTGTCGACAGACCCGCTCTTCAGCCAGGTGGAGACGGATACAGGCCTCTCCCACGGCCCGCGCTACACGCTCCTCATTAACATCACTCTACATGGGAGAGGAAGTAGTGAAGAGAGAGGTTAGACAGACGGATACAGGCCTCACCCACGGCCTGCTCAACATTCACATCACTGTACATGGGAGAAGAGAGAGACAACCACCAATTTCCTCAGATATGAAATTATACAAGTTGAAACTAGGGTTGCAAAAATCACAAAACCCTGATGGGAGGATTCCAGATTCCCTGCTTATTCCCTCTTGATTTGGTGAATCTTCTAACCAGGTTGACAGACTATAGAGAAAAGCGAGACATTTCATTGGCTCCTTTTTTTCCCCTGGTTCATCTACAGTCAATGAACTAAGCAGACAAGACCCAGCTGCCATCACATTGGTGTCTAAGCAGACAAGACCCAGCTGCCATCACATTGGTGTCTAAGCAGACAAGACCCAGCTGCCATCACATTGGTGTCTAAGCAGACAAGACCCAGCTGCCATCACATTGGTGTCTAAGCAGACAAGACCCAGCTGCCATCACATTGGTGTCTAAGCAGACCGGAACTGTTACAACGGTCTGAGTGGGACATCATCACTTAAATCCACCATTTTTGGTTAAATCCACCATTTTTGGTTGTGATCGTCAGATCTCAATATCATGCTTCAGCCCAATTTTTCAGTCTCCGTCTTCCATCAGTGACGTTCACTCAGCACCAGGCCTAACCACAGAGCCGTCTTCCAGTCCAGTGACGTTCACTCAGCACCAGGCCTAACCACAGAGCCGTCTTCCAGTCCAGTGACGTTCACTCAGCACCAGGCCTAACCACAGAGCCGTCTTCCAGTCCAGTGACGTTCACTCAGCACCAGGCCTAACCACAGAGCCGTCTTCCAGTCCAGTGACGTTCACTCAGCACCAGGCCTAACCACAGAGCCGTCTTCCAGTCCAGTGACGTTCACTCAGCACCAGGCCTAACCACAGAGCCGTCTTCCAGTCCAGTGACGTTCACTCAGCACCAGGCCTAACCACAGAGCCGTCTTCCAGTCCAGTGACGTTCACTCAGCACCAGGCCTAACCACAGAGCCGTCTTCCAGTCCAGTGACGTTCACTCAGCACCAGGCCTAACCACAGAGCCGTCTTCCAGTCCAGTGACGTTCACTCAGCACCAGGCCTAACCACAGAGCCGTCTTCCAGTCCAGTGACGTTCACTCAGCACCAGGCCTAACCACAGAGCCGTCTTCCAGTCCAGTGACGTTCACTCAGCACCAGGCCTAACCACAGAGCCGTCTTCCAGTCCAGTGACGTTCACTCAGCACCAGGCCTAACCACAGAGCCGTCTTCCAGTCCAGTGACGTTCACTCAGCACCAGGCCTAACCACAGAGCCGTCTTCCAGTCCAGTGACGTTCACTCAGCACCAGGCCTAACCACAGAGCCGTCTTCCAGTCCAGTGACGTTCACTCAGCACCAGGCCTAACCACAGAGCCGTCTTCCAGTCCAGTGACGTTCACTCAGCACCAGGCCTAACCACAGAGCCGTCTTCCAGTCCAGTGACGTTCACTCAGCACCAGGCCTAACCACAGAGCCGTCTTCCAGTCCAGTGACGTTCACTCAGCACCAGGCCTAACCACAGAGCCGTCTTCCAGTCCAGTGACGTTCACTCAGCACCAGGCCTAACCACAGAGCCGTCTTCCAGTCCAGTGACGTTCACTCAGCACCAGGCCTAACCACAGAGCCGTCTTCCAGTCCAGTGACGTTCACTCAGCACCAGGCCTAACCACAGAGCCGTCTTCCAGTCCAGTGACGTTCACTCAGCACCAGGCCTAACCACAGAGCCGTCTTCCAGTCCAGTGACGTTCACTCAGCACCAGGCCTAACCACAGAGCCGTCTTCCAGTCCAGTGACGTTCACTCAGCACCAGGCCTAACCACAGAGCCGTCTTCCAGTCCAGTGACGTTCACTCAGCACCAGGCCTAACCACAGAGCCGTCTTCCAGTCCAGTGACGTTCACTCAGCACCAGGCCTAACCACAGAGCCGTCTTCCAGTCCAGTGACGTTCACTCAGCACCAGGCCTAACCACAGAGCCGTCTTCCAGTCCAGTGACGTTCACTCAGCACCAGGCCTAACCACAGAGCCGTCTTCCAGTCCAGTGACGTTCACTCAGCACCAGGCCTAACCACAGAGCCGTCTTCCAGTCCAGTGACGTTCACTCAGCACCAGGCCTAACCACAGAGCCGTCTTCCAGTCCAGTGACGTTCACTCAGCACCAGGCCTAACCACAGAGCCGTCTTCCAGTCCAGTGACGTTCACTCAGCACCAGGCCTAACCACAGAGCCGTCTTCCAGTCCAGTGACGTTCACTCAGCACCAGGCCTAACCACAGAGCCGTCTTCCAGTCAGGCCTCTAATATTGTCACTTTCAGTTTGTCTTTAGACAAGAGATCGACTTATACCCTGGTTAACAAAAGCTGCAAGTTGTAAAATGACTAAAAATTTAAAAGAAATGTAAAAAAATATATATATTTATATGTGATTCTGGTTGCTCGTCATTTCAACTACCTTTAGTTTGGCCGGTGTAGGCCGTGATTGTAAATAAGAGTGTTCTTAACTTTACTTGCCTAGTTAAATAAAGGTTAAATAAATAATACATTGAAAGAGATTAATAGGCCTGGAGCGCTTGCTACTGGGATGAAGTATTATGGAACATCTATGTCTCTGTCCCAAACGGTACCCTATTCTGTATGGGTCCTGGTCAAATGCAATGCCCTATAAAAAGGAAATAGGGTGCTATTTGGGACTCAAACACAGGTTGTCTGACAACGTCACGGGAATAACGCACGCGCATTGATGTAGCCGGAAGGTGTGGGTTATGATTTTTGAATGGTCAGATAGCTGGAAACAATTACAAGACGCTGCCATGTGGGGGATCGTACGTGGCTCGTTTGAGCTCGTTCTTGACACCATGTCTTGTTTTGACTGATTTCATGTCATTGCTAATATGGATAAAATTCTCTAGCTAGCTAAGGATTTACTTGAAAACGTCAAGCCCTCATTGTGCAAAATGTATTTACGTTTTCAATAAACATGGAGATGAAGTATAGTTTACATGTCATCAGTCTAAACCAACCCTGTCTGTTTTACCACAGAGTAGCACCCGTATCGGTTCTGTTGCTAAACAATAATATAATATAATAATAATATGCCATTTAGCAGACGCTTTTATCCAAAGCGACTTACAGTCATGCGTGCATACATTTTTCTTGTGTATGGGTGGTCCCGGGGATCGAACCCACTACCTTGGCGTTACAAGCGCCGTGCTCTACCAGCTGAGCTACAGAGGACCACAGTGGGCAAACAACCTGTCTATTGCGTGCCCATTGGCATTGCTAGTTTGATACAGCTATGACAACTCAAGTCACACAGATGAGCGGTGCGGTTTACTGAACCAGGTCAAGGTTAGGTGCTGCACTGACATGATCAGCTGTACCAACTCACATGATCAGCTGTACCAACTCACATGATCAGCTGTAATTGCAAAGACCTTTGTGACTTCTGAAACATGTCGTCTCAAAACGGAGTCATGGTTTTATGAAGACAACTTCCCTGTCAGTCTTCTTTGTTTGAACACACTACAGCCCTCAAATTCAGGTAGAACAGAAAACCAGCAGTTGTCCGGACCTCGTAGGGTAAGCTTTGAAACCCCCTGTCCAGCGTCCCTTTGATGCGGTGAATGTAATGCAAATCAATTTATACAATTTTTGACATGCGTTTTTCTGGATATTTTTGTTGTTATTCTGTCTCTCACTGTTCAAATAAACCTACCATTAAAATTATAGACTGATCATTTCTTTGTCAGTGGGCAAACGTACAAAATCAGCAGGGGATCAAATACTTTTTTCCCCTCACTGTACATGTGCCAAGCGGTCCAGGCTTTTACGGTGTACTAACCCCCGTTAGCACAGGTTGTTAGTTGAAGAGCCCTCAGGCTGCCCTGAGAGAATAGTCTGCCAGGGCCCATTTGGCTCTGATCAAAAGTACTGCACTATATAGGGAATAGCGTGCCATTTGTTAACTTCTTACCAACAGAGCGATGTCTAGTATGGTGAAGAGGACTTTACACACCGGGCAGGTCAGGTTCCGCCAGTTGAACCCGACCCGGAGACGCCCGACCTCTTCCAGAAACGTTATGCCCGGTTTCCCCTCGTCCTGGACGGGGAACGAGGTCCCCAATGGTACCGAGCCCAGCACCAGAACACAGCACAGCAACCCCACCGCGCAGGGGACAGGTGCGAAGCGCATTGTTCTGGTTAGCAGGGAATTTAGCTCGCCAAAAGGGATTCAAAACAATGTTTCGGTCCAATACTTGATAGCGTGAGACTAAGCAAGCTACAAAAAGAACGACCCCGATATCCGTTTTGTAAAAGCTCAAGTTGCTTAGTTAGGTAGTCAGCTTTCACGCAATAACCAAGTTTGCTTTCGCAGCTGTTGTTCTGTTTGGGTTGCGACACTGACGTTAAAATAAAAACCAGGAAGCGCTGTGACGACAGCTTTGTTTCCTTCTTTATAAAAGTCTACAGCGCAGCGAGAAATATCATCGATTTGTGACCAACTCGAGTGATGCTGAACTTGTCACGAACCGAGAGCAAAACCTGAACCCCCCGCCCCAAAACTGCTGAATAACAAACGAAGGTTGTCTGGGGCTGGACTGGACTGGGCTGGGCTCAGCTGACTGATCACATGACAGAACCCGCTGCTTTAGATTGGAGCTATTCAATTGGTTAATGACTACTGATCACTGATTGGATAGTTATGTTCATCATGGCCTAAATATAAAATTATGAGGATGAAAAGACTATAAAGCCGGAAGGCTTCTTTCCGTTATGGTCCTGGTGATATGTTATGATACGTGTGACGCGTCCTCTGTAGCTCAGCTGGTAGAGCATGGCGCTTGTAACGCCAGGGTAGTGGGTTCGATCCCCGGGACCACCCATACGTAAAAACTGTATGCACAAATGACTGTAAGTCACTTTGGATAAAAGCGTCTGCTAAATGGCATATTATTTATTATTATTATATCTGGGAACGGTTAGTAAGGTCTACTTTTCCATCAATAAGGTCAACCTGGTCAATTTTGCATTTCCAACATGCAACATTTAATATTTAAACCAAAATAACTTGATCGACCTCACTTCTCCTCTTAAGAAACACAAACATTGAGGGTCACAGGTTACAGATAAGCATGATGCCAAAACCGCAAGTTTGTTCTTTTACTTTTGTTGTCCTAGGCTGTGTACCAAATGGCCCCCTATTCCATATATATATATATATAGTGCACTAGGGAATATGGCACCCTATTCTATATATATGTATATAGTGCACTAGGGAATATGGCCCCCTATTCCATATATATATATATAGTGCACTAGGGAATATGGCACCCTATTCCAAATATATATATAGTGCACTAGGGAATATGGCCCCCTATTCCTATATATATATATATAGTGCACTAGGGAATATGGCCCCCTATTCCATATATATATAGTGCACTAGGGAATATGGCCCCCTATTCCATATATATATAGTGCACTAGGGAATATGGCCCCCTATTCCATATATATATATAGTGCACTAGTGAATATGGCCCCCTATTCCATATATATATATATAGTGCACTAGGGAATATGCCCCTATTCCATATATATATAGTGCACTAGGGAATATGGCCCCTATTCCATATAGTATGGTATATATAGTGTCACTAGTGAATATGGCCCCCTATTCCATATATAAATTGAGTGGCACTAGTGAATATGGCAACCCTATTCCATATATATATAGTGCACTAGGGGAATATGGGCACCCTATTTCCATATAATAATATATATTGCACTAGTGGGAATATGGCAACCCTATTCCATATATATATAGTGCACTATGGAATATGGCCACCCTATTCCATATATATATATATATATAAGTGGCACTAGTGAATATGGCCCCCCAAAAAATATTCCATATATATATAGTGCACTAGTGAATATGGCAACCCTATCCATATATAATAGTCTGCACTAGGGAATATGGCACCCTATGCCCATATATATATATAGGTGCACTAGTGAATATGGCACCCTATTCCATATATTTTATATATATTTAAACTGGGGAAATAGGGCCCCCCCTTTTCCCCATAATATATAGTGCACAGGGGGGAATATGGGGGGGGCCCCTATTTCCCTATACGTATATATATATTTCACTGGGGAATATGGCCCCCCCCTTTTCCCATATTTATAGGGGCACTAGGGAATATTCCCCCCTTTTCCATATATATTAATATAGTGCACTATGGAAAAATGGCCCCCCCTATTCCATAATATATATCCACTGGGAATAGGGAAACCCCCTATTCCATATATATATAGTGCACTATTGAATTGGCCCCCCTTTTCCCATATATATATATTGCACAGGGAATATGGCCCCCTTTTTCCCATATATATATTTTATATGCACTATGAAATGGCCCCCTATTCCTATTAAAAAGTGCACTAGTAAATTTAATGGCCCCCCTATTCCATATTATATAGTGCACTGGGGAATTTAGGGCCCACCCTATTCCATATATTTATAGTGCACTATTTGAAAAAGGGAAACCCTATTCCATAAAATATATAAAATATTTTATATAAAAAATATTATGGCACTGGGGAATATGGCCCCCTTTTCCCCTTTTAAAATTGTGCACAGTGAATAGGGCCCCCTTTTTCCATTACGTTAATTTAGTGCCAAAAGGGAATAGGAAAACCCAAAATTTTCCAAAATTATATAGTCCCCCTAGGGAATTTTGGCCACCTATTCCATAAATATAATATATATGCACGGGGAAAATATGGCACCCTATTCCATATAAAATATAGTGCACTAGGTAATAGGGCCCCCTATTCCATAAAATTTTATGTGCACTGGGAATTGGACCCTATTCCTTTATATATATGGGGCACTTTTGAAAGGGCCCCCTATTCCTTTATAATATTTTATATATAAAGTCAACAAAAGGGAATAGGGCACCCTTTTTCCATATATTATATTTAAATTTGGGGGAAATATGGCCCCAAATTCCATATATATATTTTTGCCTGGGGAAATATGGCACCCTTTTTTCCCCATATAAAATAAAAGTGCACTAGTAAATATGGCACCGCTTTTTCCCATAATTTTATATAATATAAATATTTTATAAGCCCCACTGGGGAAATTTGGCCCCCTTTCCATATATATAAATTGAAAGAAAATTTTAAATTTATGGCCCCCCTATTCCAAAATTATATATTTGCACTGGGGAAAAAGGGGCACCCTATTCCATATATATATAGTGAAACTGGGAAAATATGGCACCCTATTCCTATATATATAGTGGCACTAGGGAATATGGAAACCCTACCCCATATTTATATTTGCACTTTGAATATGGCCCCAAAATTTCATATATAATATATATATATTTAAAAGGGCCCTAGGGAATATGATCCCTTTTTCCCATATATATATAGTGCACTAGTGAATAGGGCCCCCCCTATTCCATTTTATATATAGGGGCATTTAGGAATAGGGCCCCCCCTTTTCCCTATACGATATATTAGGGGGCACTTATGGAAATTTGGGGGCACCCTTTTTCCATTATATATACGCACTGGGGAATGGGGGCCCCCCTATTCCATATATTATAGGGGCCTTTGTAAATAGGGGCCCCCTTTTCCCATTAATATATATATATTCACTGGGAAATGGGGGCACCCTTTATTCCATATATATATAGGGGCACTAGGAATAGGGGCACCCTTTTCCATAATATATAAAATAAAAGTGCCCCTAGTGAATATGGCACCCTTTTCCCTATATATATAAAATTATATATATTATATAGGGGCACAGGGAATATGGCACCCCTATTCCATATATATATATATATTTCACTAGGGAATATGGCCCCCCCTTTTCCCAAATTTTAAAATAGGGGCCCCTTGGGGAAATATGGAAACCCTATTCCATATAAAATAGTGCAATTGGGGAATATGGCCCCCTTTCCATATATTTAAGGGGCACTAGGGAATTTTGGCCCCCATTCCAAATATGTAAAATATATTAGGGCACTAGGGAATAGGGGCCCCTTTCCATATATATAGTGTACTGGGGAATTTATGGAAACCCTACCCATAAATATATGTGCACTAGTGAATATGGCACCCCTTTTCCATATTTTATATTATATAGTGAAATTAGTGAATAGGGCCCCCCCTATTCCATATATATTAGTGCACTAGTGAATAGGGCCCCCCTTTATTCCATTTTATTATATATAGTGCACTGGGGATATTTTTTCCCCCCTTTATTCATATATATAAAGGGGAAACTGGGGAAAAAGGGCCCCCTTTTCCCCAAATATATATATATATAAATATATTTGGCACTAAAAAATTTTGGGCCCCCTATTCCTAAAATATATTTTCACTATTTAATATGGCCCCCCCTTTTCCCATTTATATATATATATATTTTAGGGGCACTGGGGAATTATGGCCCCCAAATTCCATATATAATAAGTGGCACTAGGGAATAGGCCCCCTTTATTCCATATAAAATATAGTGCACTGGGGAATTATGGACCCTATTCCATATAAAATATTTTCCCAACTGGGAAAGGGCCCCCCCTATTCCATATATTTTATAGGGGCCTGGGTTTGGGCCCCCCATTTCCTATAAAATTATATTGCACTGGGGAAATTTAGGGCCCCCCACCCATATATATATAGGGGCACAAAGGGAAAAAGGGCCCCTTTTCCCTATATATAAAATTTTCACAAGGAATAGGGCACCCTTTTTCCCCTATATTATATAAAAAAAGTGCATTTTGGGAATAGGGGCCCCCATTCCATTATATAAAAGTGCATTTGGGGAATTTTGGCCCCCTTTTTCCATATATATATTTTTGCAAAAGGGAATTGGCACCCCTATTCCATATTATATTTTGGCACTAGGGAAAGGGGCCCCTATTCCATATATATATAGGGGCACTAGGGAATAGGGGCCCCCTATTTTTTTATAAAATATAGCGCCTAGGGAATGGGGCCCCCTTTTCCCATTTTATAGTGCACTGGGAAATTTTTCACCCCCTTTCCATATATTATATGCCCCTAGGGAATATGGCCCCCTTTTCCCATATATATATGGGGAAATTTAGGGAATAGGGCAACCCCTTTTCCCAAATTTTATAAAATAGGGGTCACTAGGGAATA